CCGAGGGACGAATAAATCTCTCCAAATTAGAAGAAAAACTGGAGATTTTCAATATAAGTGCGAAAGATATAGTAGCAAGAGCAGAAAACATTACTAAAATATACAATAATAGTTTTAGCGAGACTTCAGTGTATCATCAGGAAAAAACTGCACTGTTGCATAAAACAAATGACTTATACAATAAAATATTGAATGCGCTTCCATCGACTCTTAGAGAAAGTGACTCACTAAGCGAAGCAATAAAAGAGTTTGACTCGCACATGCTGGGGGTAATAAAAAAATACAGCGAAACAAAGAATAAAGATAGAAAACTGCATGAGTTAAATATATTCAAGCTGGCAGAGCAGAATAAGCCCCTAGCTGTCCGTTTAATCTATCATCTCTTTGATATGGAACCATTAACAAATCTTTACGATACAGGAGATGTATTATATCGCATATTCTCAAACATGGAACGGTGTCTTTTCTATGACAATTTCTGGAAATGGGTATACCCTATTATAGAAAATAAATTAAAAGATAAAGAAATAGGAGCAGAGATTGACCTTCTGAAAATATTTGATAAGAATCTTTTTTACTTATTCGGCACTTCTCCAGTTAGTCCAGCTCGGGATAGGGATGTAATAAGAACCTATCTTGACTTAGTAAATGAGGACATTTCAGAAGAAAAAGTAAACCAATACAAGAATATAACTCCCAGACAGGTTATGAAAGTATTAATAATAGAATGCGAATTTAACATGGAAGGAATTTTTATGGACTACAGAAGAAACAGCTTGCTTTCTAACATTGGAAAAGTAATAATGAGCCTAGGAAATCCAGCTAAGTACAGCACGGATGTTCACAAAGGTTTAGAAATAGCAAGGAGTAGACAAGAAGATCTGCTTGATTTTTTGCAGATTTTTTGGAAAGGCCGTGTTGATACATTTATTTCAAATCCCCCTGAAGAAAATGTTAAATACTTCTGTATTTACAATGATATCACGGATTATTTCTTTCAAAATACACAGGATATCTTTATGTCTGTCAGATGGATGTATAATCTGAATATACCCATCTCTCCATTAGAAGAGTCTACTAACGATGAGAAAAGATTCAACATGATGTGCTTCGATATGTCCTACATCCATCCCATGCGTTATATATACATGCGATGTGAGTATGTTAACGATCTATGCAAACCAAATATTAAAAGCGATAAAAAGCCTTTCTCAGAAAGAGATTTAGAGAGCAATCTTCTCAGACTATACAAAATAGGAAAAGAAAATAGCGACTCAACGCGAGCAGATCATATGAAGAGCTGCATCAGAGCATGGTTTATAAGAAATACCAGTGTGACTTACGGTGAAGAAAAGCATCAGGAGTACGATAATATGGCTGAAGATTTCCGGTATTATTTGAATAAATCCCGGATTGAATGGAGTAAGAATAACCAAAACAAATGAAGAGACAGCTGAATAAATTAGCAAGCATCTATTAAAAGCTAATCAAGTTGAAGCTGAATAGAATTCTCTAAGCCAGTTCTATAAACATGCAGTTGTTGGACTAACTCTCTTATCACTAAATAAATTCAGCATTTAACCAATCCTTTTCTACTAGTAGTATTACTTCTAAATAAAATAAAATTCAAGATTAAATTTATTAAAATTATTGTATATATAGCTCCTCAGTAACAAAAACAGAAATATTTTAATTTTTATGATTTTAAAAAGCAAAGTAAAAGAAATACTAGCCATATGGGTAGCTGCACTGGCTTATTTACAGATAGCCAGATGTGGAGTGTCAAAAGATGATATTCAGGAAATAGATGAGTATTGGACTAATAGGATAGATTCTATAAGAAGAGAAGTTGAATTACGTTCGGTAGTTCTTAGAGAACTAGGCTCTAGGCCTAAGGGGCTGACATTCAATAAGAATATGTTCAAAATGATAAGAGAAGAGCTAAAGAAAGGAAAGAATGTTATCTCAGAGATAAGAAGACCAATAGAACATTTTAATGAATGTGCAGAACAGATGAAAAGTATACTATGTGAATTAACAGAACTGTCAGTGGAGATAGAAAACAAAGGATGTTCTTCCAAGTCGGAGGAAATCCAAAAGTATAAGACTTTATTTGAGGGAAAAAAGGCCGAGTTAGACAAACTACTCTATCCGCTCTTCAATAATAGTACAGTGCTAGTCAACCAAATACAGAAGGCTGATTCGTATATTATAAATGTTCTAGAGGGTTATAGCACACTGAGTAATAAAGAAATTAAGCTGCATGATCTAGCTCTGTTTAAGCTAGCAAAGAACAGAAAGATAATAGCTGCTAGCATAATATATTTTCTTTATAGTATAGACCCATCCATTCAATCTGCTGATCTAGAAGATAAACTAGGCTTCATGTCTAAAGTAATACTAGGACATATTCCAAGAGAAAATGCAGAACTTTTTACCAATGCTATAAGAAAAGATGTAGAGAAAAATAAGATAGCTCCACTGCTAGCAGCTGATAGACAACTTCACCTGCTATTTTATACGAATGAGTCTAAGTTCGTAGTAGACGATGGCATAGTGAATGTGTACATTAACCTAATAAAGCCAGATGTTTCTGTTGAAGAACTAAAACAGCGCAAGAACATAACACCAGTACAGGTTGTGAGGGTAATAATGATAGAGTATCTGATGTCTGGCTATCTTCTAGACCACAGAATGAATAGGGCGTTTTTTTCTCTAGGAAGAGTAATAGAATCCATGTTTAAACTAGAAACTGGAGATAATGTTTCTTACATAATAGTATTAGCAAGATTAAAACAGGATATAATGTTGAATGCTATAAGTCTTATGTGGTGTGATCGAGATACTCTTATTGACGAGATGTACAATGATTTTGAGAGGTTTTGCTCCAAGAATTATCTTCCACTAGGCACTCTTAAAAAAGTCCAGGATGCTTTCAAACACTCCAAGTGGCTCTATAAACTCGACAGATACAATCCAATGAAATGCTTTCCAGCCGATGAAGATAAACTAGAGACAGGAATGCACTTTGATGTATCCTACGTACATCCTCTATGGCATATATGCAGAAGATGTGAGGAGCTCAGTCAGGTAGTTGCACCGCTCTCTGCACCCAATAAAACTCCATTTATGGAAATACACGATGCGTACATACTTAGACCATACCTAATAAGTAAAGATGATAATGATAGCACAGTGCGATCTACCAATATGAGAGATTGCATTGATTTATGGTTCAAAACTTGTGCTGATGCTACAATTATCTACAGAAAAGAAGATAGTCTTGAATACTACAATCTAGCCAAGGACTTTGATAACTATTTGAGAATGTCTCAGAGATTGCACTTTATAGAAATGAAAGTAAAAAAAACAGAAAAGGAAGAGTTACCCCAATCTGAAGAAATGAAATCTACTGAAAGTAGTGAAAACAATTCACTGCAGGATAGTCAAAGTGAATCTAAAGAAGCCAAAACTAGTGAAAGTAGTGAAAGCAATCCATTGCAGGATATGCCAAGTGAATCTGAAGAAGATGACTTTGTGATGGTTCAATTGGAAGATGCTCAGTGAGCCATTCTTATCACTAAATAAATTCAGCATTTAGCCATTCCTTTTCTACTAGTACTATTACTGCCAGCTAAAATAAAATTCATTGAGCAATAATAAAAAATTGAAACTCTTCTGCTCTAGCTACGCTTTGCTTATGTTAGTACTTG